GGTGAGCCCCCCACTTTAGCCTTGGAGGTGCAGCCAGCGTGTGTAAGAGGCGATGGGTGGAGGCAGCTGACGATTGATTGGCAGATGGGACTGCTGGGAGGGGCCTCTTGTGAGAGCTGTCCCCCCCCCATTGCAGGAGGGAGAAGATGCAAGGCTGTCTCGTGCCTACTTTCTCCCCCCCCCCCCCCACTTAGAGGAAGGAGGAAAGCCAGGGGAAGTCAGCTGCTGTGGGCAAGCACCAGGATGACTCTCAGTTCTTCAAATCTTGACCTACAGAAAACCTTTCTTTGCAATAGAAGCAACGGGTGGTCGTCAAGGAGAGAAACAACCTGGAACTAAGGAGAAATTTCCTATCAGTTAGAACAATTAACCAGAAGCTTGCCACCAGAAGCTGTAAGGGCTTCATCAGTGGAGATTCTCAAGAAGAGACTGGACAGTCACTTGTCTGAGATGGTCTAGGGCAGGGGTAGGCAACCTTGGCTCTTTTAGGACTGGTGGACTTCAACTCCCAGAATTCCTGAGCCAGCCTGGCTCAGCTTGGAAACCTCTCCCTTTCCCCTCAGCATGGCTGGCTCAGGAATTCTGGGAGTTGAAGTCCACGAGCCATAAAAGAGCCAAGGTTGCCTACCCTTGGTCTAGGGTCTCCTGCTTGGGCAGGGGGTTGGACTAGATGACCTACAAGGTCCCTTCCAACTCTGATATTCTGATGTGAGCAATAATTTGCTCTGCAGATGAAAAAGGGAAATCATAGCAATTGCCATGATTTCACTCTGCTTGAACAGAGTGCTACAGAAGAAGGAAAAAACTCATCAAGGAGAGAAGCAACCTAGAACTAAGGAGGAATTTCCTGACAGTTAGAACCATTAACCAGTGGAACTACCTGCCTCCAGAAGCTGTGGGTGCTTCATCACTGGAAGTTTTTGAGAAGAGACTGGACAGTCATTTGTCTGAAATGGTCTAGGGTCACCTGCTCGAGAAGGGGGCAGGACTAGAAGACCCTCAAGGTCCCTTCCAACTCTGTTATTTTGTTAATCGGTGGAACGACCTGCCTCCAGAAGTTGTGGGTGCTCCATCACTGGAGGTTTTTAAGAGGAGATTGGACAACCATTTCTTTGAAATGGTATAGGGCAGGAGTAGGCAACCTTGGCTCTTTTATGACTTGTGGACTTCAACTCCCAGAATTCCTCAGCCAGCGTGGGGAAATTATGGCCCCCTCATGACTCGTGGACTTCAACTCCCAGAATTCCTCAGCCAGCATGGGGGGACTATGGCCCCCTCATGACACATGGACTTCAACTCCCAGAATTCCTCAGCAAGTGTGGGGGAACTATGGCCCCTTCATGACTTGTGGACTTCAACTCCCAGAATTCCTGAGCTAGCCATGCTGAGGGGAAAGGGAGAGGTTTCCTAGCTGAGTCATGCTGGCTCAGGAATTCTGGGAGTTGAAGTCCACCAGTCATAAAAGAGCCCAGGTTGCCTATCCCTGGTATAGGGTCACCTGCTCAAGAAGGGGGTTGGACTAGAAGACCTCGAAGGCCCCTTCCAACTCTGTTATTTTATCTGGTGTGTGTGTGTGTGTGTGTGTGTATGCCTGCATCCTGCTTGATCTTCACCCCTGCCCCCCTTCTCACCTGACAGATTTTGCCACCTCCCCTTCCACCATGCCCCACATCATCGTGATCTTCCCAGGAAAGCATGGGGGATCTTCTCCAGATTCTGCCTCTTCCTCCCCTTCTTTCTCGTGATCTCCTCCGTTTGCTCTGGATCTCTGTGCCAGTCCGGAGGTGCCACGCCCGGGTAAAGTTCACCAGGCTGCCTTCCTCCGGCTTCCGGGGACCAGCAACGGCCGGAACGCAGCGGTTCTGCCCTTTTTTTCGACGTGACTTAAGCAACCCTTTGTTTAATGCCTGTTTGAAGTTGGCCACTACCGTATAAGGCTCTGAAAAAAGTGACTTATGATCGTTTTTCCACACTTAGGACCGTTGCAGCTGCCGGTCACATGTGGTTAAAATTCAGAAGCTGGGCGTCTAGTTCAAAAGGATGGATGGATCAAAATTGAGCCCAAAGTTTCTGTTGTTAAGAGACAGTTCTCAGAATGAGTCTCGCCCCCCCATTTTACGACTTTTCTTCCCATGGTTGTTAAGTGAATCACTGCAGGTGTGAAGTCAGTCAGACGGTCGTTAAGTGAATCCGGCTTCCCTCTCCATTGACTTTGCTGGTCAGAAGGTCGCCAGTAGGGACGTTGCGACCGTCATAAGTAGGAGTCATGTTGCCACGCGTCCGAATTTTGATCACGTGACCCTGGGGATGCCCCAACGGTCGTTAAGTGTGAAAAATAATATATGGTAATTCATTTTTTTTCAGTGCCACTGTGACTTTGAATGATCATTAAAGAAATGGTTGTAAGTCAAGGACTACTTTTCTGAGGTGGTATAGATTCTCCTTCCTGAGCAGGGGGTTGGACTAGAAGACCTCCAAAGTCCCTTCCAGATTCTATTCTATTCTGTTTCGTTCTGTTCTAATCCTTATTCTATTTCTATTTCTTTTTTCTATTCTGTTCTATTCTATTCTATTCTATTCTTTCTCTTTCTCTTTCCATTCTATTCTGTAATTCTATTTGTAATTCTATTCTATAACTATTCTGTAATTCTATTCTGTAATTCTATTCTATTCTGCATTTCTATTCTATTTTCTATTTCTATTTATTTCTATTCTTATTCCTATTCCTATTCCTATTCCATTCTTTTGGGGGTTCCTTCTCAAATCTCTCTTGCAGTCCCTAAATCCCAGTGCTGGCAGTGGGATTCAGCCTCTGTTTTAACCAGGTTGCCTTTGAATCCATGAGATGCCCCGGTGGAATTAGGGTCCTCTCTCTCTCCTTGCTGAGAGGTTTTCCTGATTTAGTTGCTGCGTTGAGGCCCGGACCTGGGGGGGGGTCTCCCCTCCCTTATCCCCTCCCCACCACCTGTGGCTTTGTGAAGACAGAGAAGCTGCATCTGTTATCACACAAGGGCCCCCAGCCAAAGAGGGCGGACGGGGGGGGGGGGGCGCAATCTCTAGGGCAACCAGCTCTGGCCAATCTCCATGCTGATCCTTCAGAGCAAAGGCCTCCCCCTCCCACCCCCAGTTCCGGAGAAAGGTCAATTTAGCTCTTTGTTATGGGGCCGCAGCTGTTTGACTCATTCTTGGCTGGCTTTGGGCTGAGTAGGCTTCTTTTGGCCTCTTTTGGCTCAGATTTGGAGAACTGGGTTGGAAGCTTCTTCCAAAGGGGTGGGGTGGGGGGTGGGCGGGGAAGAGGGCCAGCTGGCAGGCGCCTTTCCTTGCTTGGCTGCCCCCCCTCCAGAACAGCTGAGAATCCAGAGCAACTGGGGGTCTGGCTAAGCTCCCCCCCCCCCGTCCCGCCCTTGAAGAGCGGGAGAAAGGGAGAAGGTTCAAGGACAGATGTTGAGTAGAGGCTCTTCCATTTCTGGAGCTGCAACGTGTCCTCTTGCTGGTAAAAGAGAGTCTCTGCTCCTTCACACGTTCATGCAGCTGTGCATCCCCAATTCCAGCAACCGTTCCTTATATGCTTTAGCCTCCAGTCCCCTGATCCTCTTTGTTGCTCTTCTCTGTACTCTTTCCAGAGTCTCAACGTCTTTTTTACATCGTGGGGACCAAAACTGGATGCAGGATTCCAAGTGTGGCCTTACCAAGGCCTTGTAAAGCAGTACTAACACTTCACGTGATCTTGATTCTCTCCCTCTGTTAATGCAGCCCAGCACTGTGTTGGTCTTTTTGGCAGCTGCAGCACACGGCTGGCTCCTATTTAAGGGATTGTCCACTAGGACTACGAGACTCTCACAGTTACTACTATTGAGCAAGGTACCCCCTATACATTTCTCTCATGGCCTTGCTTCCTGGGCTTTTGGAAAAATCAGGGGGTCTCTGAAGGGGCCGGGGGGGGGGGGAGAGAGAAGACCTTCCTGAAGGGCTTGGCCAGACAGCTTCCAAAGAAGCATCTGGAAAGGAAGTCCCTGTACATCTGGCAACGTCCTTTGCAAGTTTGCAAAAGGAACATAAAATCTGGGTGGGGGAAGAGCAAACCACAAAGGCTTCCTTTGTTGAACAACGTCCCCACCTGGCATCCAGGGCAAATTTCAACCCCCCCTCCCCCCAAAAGCAGCCATTTCTCCTTCCTCTTGGTCTCTTAATATAGGTGCAGGAAGTCCCCGACTTACAAAAGCTGATTTAGTGACCACATTGAAAAAAGCACTGAAAAAAGAATCAAGATCACGTGAAGTGTTAATACCACTTTACAAGGCCTTGGTGAGGCCACACTTGGAATACGGCATCCAGTTTTGGTCACTACGATGTAGAAAAGATGTTGAGACTCTAGAAAGAGGACAGAGAAGAGCAACAAAGAGGATCAGGGGACTGGAGGCTGATCCAATTCCAGCAGTCTTTCCTTCAGAAAGGAAAGGCTGCTGGAACTGGGAATGTCCAGTTTAATGAAGAGAAGGATGAAGGGGGGATAGGATAGCAGCATTCCAGTATCTCAGGGGCTCCCCCAAAAAAGAGGGAGTCAAGCTATTCTCCAAAGCCCCTGAGGGCAGGACAAGAAGCAATGGATGGAAACTCATCAAGGAGAGAAACAACCTGGAACTAAGGAGAAACTTCCTGACAGTCAGAACAATTAACCAGTGGAACAACTTGCCTCCAGAACCGATGAATGCTCCAACACTGGAAGTTTTTAAGAAGAGACTGGACAGCCATTTGTCCGAAATGGTAGGCCCTATACTATTTCAGACACATGGCTGTCCAGTCTCTTCTTAAAAACTTCCAGTGTTGGAGCATTCACCGCTTCTGGAGGCAGGTTGTTCCGCTGGTTAATTGTTCTAACTGTCAGGAAGTTCCTCCTTAGTTCCAGGTTTGTTAGTTCTAGAAGTTATTTGCTAGGTTTGGTGAGGGACTCGGCACACCCTTCCTGGAGGAACCAAATCTTTTCTGCTTTTTCTCCCCAGTATGCCGAGATTTTGCTGTCCGGGAGGATCACACGCTGGCCCACAGCCTGCAGGAGCAGGAAAGTAAGTTACGTCAGAGAAACCCTGTTGGATCCTGTCCTTGTTCACACAAGGTGCCTTTTGTGCTAGTCTTCCCTGCTTCTGGTTCTGCTCAATTGGATTTTAATTGAATTTTTATTAATCCAATTGGGTGGCTCCTTGCGTTTCTCTTTATTCAGGTGTATGGTATGTACCTTGCTTGTTTATCAGTTCCACAGAATTGAATGGAACGGAACGGAACGGAATAGAATTACAGAATAGAATAGAATAGAATAGAATAGAATAGAATAGAATAGAATAGAATAGAATAGAATAGAATAGGGAATGAATAGAACAGAATAGAATAGGGAATGAATAGAGAAAAGAAAGAATAGAATAGAATAGAATAGAATAGAATAGAATAGAATAGAATAGGAAATGAACAGAACAGAACAGAATACAATAGGGGATGAATAGAATAGAACAGAATAGAATAGGGAATGAATAGAACAAAACAGAACAGACTTACAGAATAGAATAGAATAAAATAGGGAATGAATAGAACAGAATAGAATAGGGGATGAATAGAATAGAACAGAACAGAATAGAATAGGTGTGAATAGAATAGAACATAACAGAATTACAGAATAGAATTACAGAATAGAATAGAATAGAATAGAATAGAATAGAATAGAATAGAATAGAATATGGAATGAATAGAATAGAATCTGAAAGGGACCTTGGAGGTCTTCTAGTCCAACCCCCTGTTCAGGCAGAAAACCTTATACCATGTCAGACAAATGGCTGTTCAGCCTCTTAATTCCCTGCTTCCCATCTCCTTCCAGTCGAGCACCACTTAGCCACCAACATCCAGCGCAACCGCCTGGTCAAACATGACCTACAAATGGCCAAACAGCTGCAAGAGGAAGAAGACCGGAAAGCTCGCATTCGTCTTCAGGAGCAGCACAAGAACCTGTGAGTGGGGGGCTGCAGTGGGGGTCCTGGCACTTTCATCTGGGTTTTTGAGGGGAGGGGAACTATTGGAGAATCACAGCCAGGGACTCGACTCTCTGCACTGAACAATGGGGACAACCAGGAGACTGGGGGGGGGGGCTATTTTTATGTATTTATTTTACTTAGAAAATTTATATTGTTGCCTGTTTGCACAGGATGACTCAAGGCAGCTTACACGGATATAAAAACACCGTATAAAAAGAATAAAAAATAACAAGAAAAAATAATAAAATAATCAAGTAATAACTCTTCCCCGCTCCTCCAACCCAGCGACAACACACATTCACACTAGCCCAGGAGTAGGCAACCTTGGCTCTTTTATGACTCGTGGACTTCAGCTCCCAGAATTCGCTGGCTCAGGAATTCTGGGAGCTGAAGTCTACGAATCATAAAAGAGCCAAGGTTGCCTATCCCTGTGCTAGCCATTTAATGGGCTCCATCCCGCTCTGGATTCCACAGGCCTGCTTGCAGCACCAGCGTGTACAGTCTTATTGCACAAGATAACCCAATAGTAAACACAGTAAACAGTGGTCTATATTAAATGGTGGCTTATCTTATACTATCTACAATATCACACACCAGAAACAACATACGTACACCTGCTAATACAGCAGGATCCAACACACTACAGTTACAGCAGGAAACGGAGAGAGAAAACACATCAGCAGACACTTCCCTTTATACGAAGGCTCTTAAAGAGACACAGACCCTGCTGAGCCAGTCTCATCATTACATTACGTCTTACATCTTACATTCCATAAGCTGGTTAGCTGTTACGTCAATACCTTGATCCCAGGTCGTCAGCACACTGAAGTATCCTCCTTGTGACACAAAAAATCCCCTCAAAATTTGGCTAGAAATGGGCAGGGTGGATGTCCTCCTGTTTGAGTTGGGAAACTCACAAAGTTAAAATAGGTTTCCTCCAATAGAGAAGAGCAACTAAGATGAACAAAGGCCTGGAGACTAAAACATACGAAGAACGGTTGGAGGACTTGGATTTGGCCAGTCTGGAGAAAAGAAGGATTGGGGGGGGGGGACACAGGATAGCAGCATTCCAGTTTTTGAGGGGCTGCCACAAACAGGAGGGGGTCAACCCTAGGGCCCCTCCCCTTTTGATCCTATGCATGGGGCTGGAAAAAAGAGATCCCTGTGTCTGCTGTCATTGGGAATGTCATTAATATCATGTCATGTAATGTAATTTGAGCCGTGTCAAGCGTTACACAAAGAAAAAAACTGGGTATAACTGGAACAGTGAAATAAATATAATGAAGTCATCTCCTGGCTTGATCAATGCAGGGTCTGGCAGCTATTTAAAAAAAAAAAAAGGCAAATTTTGGAAATGTCGTAATGCCTTTGTTTTGGGGAAACGTAAATATTAGGGCGCAGTTCTGAATGTTGCATTTGGAAAAGGATGTAAGGAACTGGGAAGAACCGCAGAAAAGGCAAGTGAACAATCCCAGAAGACCAGGCTGGGATGTTTGGGGGGGGGGGGACTGGGGCGTGTCAAGTCACGCAGGGGGGGAGATTTCCGTTCATGATCTCAGCCTGTCCGACTCCTCAGACTGACCGGTATTTTCACCCAGAGCCAAATGCGTCGTGTAACTCTCCGCAAATGCACGCAGGACCTGGGTGAGTCTCTGGCCTAGATCACAGAAGCTGCCTTGCTGCTCCCAGACAGGCCAGGTTGAGGCAAGAGATGTTTGTGTCAGTCGTCTAGGAAGCATCCCAGCTTTGTAGCCGCAGGCCCTGCAAAGTGGCGAACTGGAAGAAGATCAAGCGGCTTGCCTTTCACTAGAAAATTAACATCGCCATTAGTCAGGATTCTTTCAGTCTGAATTAATGAAGGGATAAACTCTTGACTTCCAACGCTCTCTGCTCCTCCTAAAGCAGACCGAGCAGATGTTGGATGTGGGTCTTTGGGACCTCGGAGAGAACGGAGGGGGGGGGCTGGTTCTTCCCCATCTCTTTCTGTTCCTTCTCCGTTTCCTTTCTCCTCCTCCTCCTCCATCCCTTCTCCTTCTTTTCCATCCCTCTTCCTCCTCTCCTTCCTCCCCTCCTTCTCCTTCCCTTCTTCACCTCCTCTCCTTCATCCACTCCTCCTTCTCTTCCATCCTTCCTCTTCCTCCTCTCCTTCCTCCCCTCCTCCTTCTCCATCACTTCTCCTCCACTCCTCTTCCATCCCTTCCTCCTCCATCTCTTCTTTCTCCTTCTCTTCCATTCCTCCTCCTCCTCCATCACTTCTTTCTACTTCTCCTTTTCCATGATTTTTCCTCCTCTTCCTCACCATTTTTCCTTCCTCCCTCCCTCCCTCCCTCCCTCCCTCCCTCCCTCCCTCCCTCCCTCCCTCCTTCCTTCCTTCCTTCCTTCCTTCCTTCCTTCCTTCCTTCCTTCTCTTCCACCGTCATTTCTTCTCTGAGCGGTTGGTCGCTTGCTCTTCTCCCTGAAGAGATGCCACCATAAAAAAAATCCATGCCATCAAAATCCCACGTGGGTCAAGAACCAAGCAGCCCCCCTCCCACCCCTCTCTGCTCCGGACCTAATCCACGGTCCAGGTCTTGGGCCAGAGCCAGGGCCAGAAGGACCAGCCCCACCCTCCTGCACCGGCTGACCCTCAGGAAGGGGGTCTGGCGGCTGGGCGGCTGGGCTAAGCCCCCAAGCTGAGGTCTGCAGGCAGAGGAGGCCGACGGCCTGGGCTTATCGGGAGAGCCCTCCGCCCTCGCTCTGCCTGGCCTGGAGGCCGGTTCACGTCATTCAGGGAGGGTGACGGTTGTTTCAGACTGAGCTCCTGCATCCAGGAGTCTCTGCTTCTGCAGGGTTGGACTAGAAGACCTCCAAGGTCCCTTCCAGCCCTAGGACTCTATGATCTTGGGCAGAGGGTTGTATTAGAAGACCCCCAAGGTCCCTTCCAGCCCTAGGACTCTATGATCTTGGGCAGAGGGTTGTATTAGAAGACCTCCAAGGTCCCTTCCAGCCCTGGGACTCTATGATCTTGGGCAGAGGGTTGTATTAGAAGACCCCCAAGGTCCCTTCCATTCCTAGGACTCTATGATCTGGGGAATTCTGTGAGTTGAAGTCCACAAGTCTTAAAGTGGACAAGGTTGGACACTTCTATGGTCTCTTCAGATGATTCTTGCCCCAGAACCGTCTTTTCTCACCTTGAAGGGCTTGGCCAAGGTTCTCCTGAGCCAAGGTGGGAGTCTTCTGCTGCCCTCGGCTCCCGTCCCCTGCTCGACTCTTTCGCCCTGCCTCCCACCCACTCACCAAGGACCCTCCGGTGTTTTCAGGGAACAGCAAGACTGCGAGATCGCCCAGGAAATCCAGGTCAAGCTGGTCATCGAAGCGGAGCAGCAGCGTCGTCAGGAAGAGGGCGACGAGGTAAGCCCCCCCCCCTTCGGCGTGGAGACGAGGGCCGTTCCTCTCCCCGAGGAGGCAGAAACGGCTCCCCAGCTTCTGCCACCCAAGTAGACCTGCCTGCAAAGGTGCACAGGTGGCCCTCGACTTACAAGCATTCATTTGGTGGCCGTTCGAAGTTGCAACAGGACTGGAAAAAGGAACTTATGACCTGAGCAGGGGGTTGGACTAGATGACCTCCAAGATCCCTTCCAACTATTATTATTATTATGGATCATCGCACAGTCAGCCAGATGTTCAGACTGGATTTGGCATTTTGTCTACCTCTCGAGTCCTTACCCAGGACCTGGGATAGGCAGATGTGGATGTTTGATGGTATTACAGATATCGTCGCAGGATGGAAGCAGTTCCTAGTAAGGCCGCCTTTTGCAATTGACTAATAGCGAATTTGTCAATGCCGATGATGGTGTTCAAGTGGTGCTCCAGTTGTTTTGGGATTGCACCCAAGGAGCCTATGACTATTGGTACTACCCTTGCTTGCTTTTGCTACAGTCTTTCTATTTCTATTTGTAGGTCTTTGTATTTTGTTATCTTCTCCAGTTTTTTCTCGTCTCTTCTGCTGCTGCTGCTGCTGATGATGATGATTATTATTATTATTATTATCATCATCATTATCATCATCATCATTATTGTTTTTCACACAACCGTTGCAGCGTCCCCATCAAAATTCAGACGTTCGGCGGCAACCGACTCATATTTATGACGGTCGCAGTGCCCCTGGAGGGGTCATGTGGTTGATCCCCTTTTGCGACTTCCTGAACAAGCCAGGCCAGATTCACTTAACAAGCGTGTCACTTGCTGAAGAACTGCAGGGATTAAATTTATCCGCTCTGGCAAGAAAGCTCGTAAAAGGGGGCCGCACTCACTTAATTGAACTTAGCCACGGAAATTTTGTGGTCGTACGTTGAGTGCTACCTGTGCAGAGAAGACCTCCAGGTGGGGAGGGGGGAAAATCTAAGAGAGGCCTAGAGGGGCTTGTAGGGTCCTCTTGGAGGACGTATAAACAGGACAACAATCAGAGGGGTCCTTAGAGGTCTTCTAGTCCAACCCCAGGAAGAAAAATACCGAGATACAACTGGGTTTCAGCCAAACCTGGATGGAGACCCCTTCACACGTGTTCTTCGTTTCAGGACATTGCTCGGATTCTGCAGCAGAAGGAACTGCAGGAGGAGAAGAGGCGGAAGAAGCTGCCTCCGGACCCCCTGCGGCTGGGCGCGTCCGAAGAAGTCTACCCCCCAGAGAACAGAGGTGAGCGGAGGGGCTGCCCCTTTGCCCCCCCCGACCCCCCCGGGTTGCTTTTTCTGCCTTAATCTCTGCAAGGGGAATAATTTGGGTGTCGTGATTAAGACGGTGAGTCCTTGGGCCAGCCAGTCCTCCCCTCTCGGCCCCAGGAAGAAGGCAAGGGCTTCTGGAAATGGGGTCAGGAAACAGGGCTTGGCGCCAGGAGTCAAGACAGACTCAAAAGCAGCCACACAAAGACCCGCAAATACACACACACACACACACACATACAGACACACACACATATACACACAAACAGATATATACACATACATCCCTCAGACCTTGGCAAGTGCCCAGAGGTCCTTCAGGCTGCAATCCCGGAGGCCAAAGGAGATTCAGAATTACAAAATAACTACATAGAAGGGACCTTGGAGGTCTTCTAGTCCAGCCATCTTCCCAAGATCATAGAATCCTAGGGTTGGAAGGGACCTTGGAGGTCTTCTAGTCCAGCCATCTTCCCAAGATCATAGAATCCTAGGGCTGGAAGGGACCTTGGAGGTCTTCTAGTCTATCCCCCTGCCGAAGATCATAGAATCCTAGGGCTGGAAGGGACTTTGGAAGTTTTCAAGTCTAACCCTTGACTTTTCCTTGCTGGCTTCTCTGTTCAGTTTGGGAGAAGTTAGTGGGCTGCTGGCTGGGGAATTCTGGGAGTTGAAGTCCACAAGCCTTAAAGGGGCCAGATTTGCCTTAGACCCTGCCTGTTGGCCAAGAAGGATGCCGGACTCCGCTTGGGAACGAATAAACGCCACCAATGCCAGCTGGGCAGAGCCAGGTGCCAGGTGGGCTGGGCTTCCAGCCAATCTCCAATGAAAGCCCCCCCCCCCCGCTTGATGAGCATCGCTGCTGCAGAATGGAAATCGTCTCCTGGATTGTGATTGAGGGGCTGGCTCTCCTCTTCTTCCTCCTCCTCTTCCTCCTCCTTCTTGAAGGGCTGATGTGATCAGAGGAACTTCCAGAGCTGGGATTTAATGAACGGGATGCTGCTTGGTGTGGTTTCTTCAGCCTGCAGGCCTCTTCCTTGTCACTGTGCAACACGCTCTGCTTTTTGTCACTTAGGACACTGAAACCGTCATTACATGCCAGGGGCTCCTCCTCCTCCTCCCTTCCTCCTCCTTCTCCCCCTCCCTTTCTCCTCCCCCTCTTCCCTCTTCCTCTTCCCCCCCTCTTCCTCCCTTCCTCCTCCCTCTCCTCCTCTTCCTCCCTTCTTCCTCCCTCCTCCCCCTCCTCCCCTCTTCCTCCCTCCTCCCCCTCCTCCCCTCTTCCTCCTTCTTCCTCCCCATCCTCCTCCCCCTCCTCTTCCTCCTCCCCCTCCTCTCCTCTTCCTTCCTCCCTTTCTCCTCCTTCCTCCTCCCCTCCTCCACTTCCTCCTCCCCTCTTCCTCCTTTTCCTCCCCTCCTCCCTTTCTCCTCCTCCTCCCCTTCCTCCCCTCCTCCCTCGCTTCCTCTCCTCCCTCCTCCACTTCCTCCTCCTCTCTTCCTCCTCCTCTTCCTCCTCCCCCTCCCCTCCTCTTCCTCCCCTCTTCCTCCTCTTTCTCCTCCTCCTCCCCCTCCTCCTATCTTATCCTGTCCTATCCTATTTATTCCTCTTCTCTCCTCTCAGAAAGGGTGCCAGAGGAGGGACCAAATGAAATCCAAAGGGCAAAAAAAATTAAAACATTTCAAACATTATTTTAAATCATTAAATTGAATTGTTGCCTTGTCCTGTGGTGAGTTGCCCACGGTGGGTTGTCTCATGCCAGGTAAGGAGGGGACACCGCTTACGTGGAAATGGAGAGGGCTCCTGGCTTGGAGTCTCCACTGACGGGAAGAGCTTCAGAGGCCGAAGCCAGTGGAGAAGGGAGGGGGGATCTGAGGGGTCCTGCAGGAGCTTTGCTTACTCGCATGCCTTCCCTGACCCTCCAAGCTTGCTCCCCCCCCTCCCCCCCTGCTGTGTAGCCCTACACCTGCCGTTAACCCCGGTCACTAACTCTCCTCCCTTGTCTGTCTTGCCCCTTCGTCGTTGCCCAGACCCCTTGTCCGGCAATCCCCGCGAACCGGGGCCCAAACTCCCTAGACCGGGCAGCACGGAGAGGCAGCCCCCCCAAAGGAGGGAGCCTCGGGGGGGGCCTCCTCTGCTTTCAGAGGGTCTCGACCTGGAGACTTGGGAGAGCTCCCCAGAAACGAGAAAGGCCAAGGACGGCCGGAGCAAGGACCGAGAGAAACGGGAGAGGAAGAAGGACGGGCACGGGAGACCCCCTCATCACGAGGATCCTGCAGATGTGGGAGTGGAGGAGGAGGAAGAGGAAGACAGAGCCCGCAGTCGCCCCAACTGGAGCCAGGACAAAACTCGGGGGCCACGTCTGCTGCTGTGGGATGCCGAACCGCCCCGGGCCGGTCGAGGCGGCAGGGATCCAAGGAGGCCTCCGAGCCACGAGAGAGCCCCCCGGACGCCGCCTCCTCCGACGGAGCGGGAAGAGGAATGGAGGAGCGGGCACCGCAGCTGTGGGCCCCGAGGGCAGGGGGAGCGGGGGCCGACCCCCAACGGGAGAGAGAGGCAGGCGGAGAGACGGTACGGCCAAAGCCGGTCCCCCAATCCGGACCGTCGTGGGCTGCCACCCCAGGAGGACCGCAGCTCCCCGTGGCCCCCTGCCCACCATCACGCCAGGCACCAGGACCCGGAGGCTGCCCCCCGGCACCAGCCCAGGAGGGAGGACGGAGAAAGGGAGCCGCGGGGGGCTCGGGCCTCCCCCACCTCCCACCGCAGGGAGGGCAGGGACGGGGAAGGCAGGCGACCCCGGAATGCAGGTAACGGGACCGCGGCCCACGGGGGTCTTTGGGCTTGATTCTGGGTCTCCCACATTTCGCCTTTCCCCACTGGGCCGAGAGGGTGCCAGCTGCCAGTCGAGGACTCCTAAACCCTCCAGGAAGAGAGGAATGTGCTAAAACTGCCAGTCAGGAGGAAGGCGGGGTTGAGGGGTTTTTTTTCCTTATAGAATCGCAGCCTCTGAATTTGCTGTAGCCGCAGAACTGCTTCTGCTCCAGGTGAGACAGAGGCTCCCGGGGTTTCCACCACAAGGAACGTCGGTCTGAGCCTGGAAGCCGAGGCGGTCCCTCCGTGGCCCATAAGCAGGTCCTGGTGCAGCTTTGAGCTTATTGTGCGGTCCTGGATGCTCTCTGAGCTGGCTGGTTTCCTGGCAGACGTTTCATCACCCAACTAGGGAATGTCATCAGTGTTAGAAGGGAGTGGGGTTTGCAGGGAGGAGGAGGAAAAAGAAGAAGAAGAAGAGGACTGGGGGTTCCTTCGTGCCCTCTGACTTGGGTGGTCTTCTTGCAGACATTGCATCACCCAACTAGGGAACATCATCAGTGGAGTTGAGGAGGAGGAGGAGGAAGAAGACTGAGGGGTCCTTTGGGGCTCTGTGAGCTGGGTGGTTTTCTTGCAGATGTTTCATGACCCAACTAGGGAACATCATCAGTGCTAGAAGGGAGAGGGGTGTGCAGAAAGGAGGAGGAGGAGGAGGAGAAGAGAAAGAAAAAGAAAGAAAAGGAAAAGAGAGAGAAAGAAAGAAAGAAAGAAAGAAAGAAAGAAAGAAAGAAAGAAAGAAAGAAAGAAAGATAAAGGACTGGGGGGGGGTCCTTGGTGCTCTGTGAGCTGGGTGGTTTTCTTGCAGATGTTTCATGACCCAACTAGGGAACATCATCAGTGCTAGAAGGGAGAGGGGTGTGCAGAAAGGAGGAGGAGAAGAGAAAGAAAGAAAAAGAAAGAAAAGGAAAGAGAGAGAGAGAGAAAGAAAGAGAAAGAAAGAAAGAGAAAGAAAGGATTATGGGATCCTTGGTGCTCTCTGAGCTGGGTGGTTTTCTTGCAGACGTTTCACGACCCAACTAGGTAACATCATCAGGACCAGAAGAGAGAGGGGTTTGCAGGGAGGAGCAAGAGGAAAAGGAGATAAAGAAAGAAAGAAAGGAAGGAAGGAGAGGAGAAGAACTGTGGGGTTCTTGGTGCTCTCTGAGCTGGGTGGTTTTCTTGCAGACATTGCATGACCCAACTAGGGAACATCATCAGTGGAGTTTAGGAGGAGGAGGAGGAGGAGGAGGACTGTAAGGTCCTTGGCACACTCTGAGCTTGGTAGTTTTCTTACAGACATTGCATGACCCAGCTAGGGAATAACATCACTGTTAGAAGGCAGCGGGGTTTGTGGAGGGGAGGAGAAGAAGAAAGGAGGATTAGAGTCATTAACCATAACATTCTTCCTTGGGATTGTGACCGTTCCAGCTGTGTTTCACAAATAGGAAAACAACAGAGTTGGAAGGGACCCTGGAGATCTTCTAGTCCAACCCCCTGCTCAAGCAGGAGACCCTGTACCATTTCAGACAAACGGTTGTCCTCTTGGAGACAAGTCATTCAACTGATTAATTGTTCTCACTGTCCGGAAATTCCTGCTTAGTAGGTTCCGAGATGGTGGACCGTTGGCCATCAAGAGCGATAACAAAAAGTGCCGCTCTCTGTGCTCCCCGAAGCCGGACACCAGCGTGGGTGGCCGCCATCCCTTCTTCTGCCACAGCTCCATCAATGAATGATCTGATGGTTTAATGCAGCGTAATAACGATCTGGGGGGGGGGGTTTCTCCCAGGAAGGAGATCCCAGCAAATGGTCTTCATCCTGTCCCAAACCGGGCCGAAGTGCTGCTGGTGGCAGCCGGTTCTCTGCTTGGGGGTGGGAAAAAGCAACGCAGACTTTCTTCTTTCCCAGTCTGGGACTCCAGGCTCTGGCTGGTGGCAGATGAATCCCAGATGGGGGCCGGGCCCTCCCCTCTTTGTTCCCAGGAAATCTTTAAACAAGGAACACGGTGGTCGCATCTGGTGCGGTTCCCCGCTTTTGTTCTCCTTCCAATTCGGTGACGTTTTGCAAGGATGTGTCTGTCAGGTTTGCAATGCCCCCCCCCTCTTCCGTAGGCCTATAAATAGGCCCTCCCCGCCTCTTCCTCTGAGCAGGGCTCCGGCCTGGGTCCTCGCCAAGGGAGCTGGGCGTCATGGGGAAGTGGTCCCGCTCTGTGATGTCGGAGTTCTTCCCCAGAGAAGCTGCTAAGTGGAGGCAGCTGGGCTGCTCACATCTTCTGCTCAGCAGAGGCTATGGTGTGCTCAGCTGCTGCACAACAGGGGCGCCAGGGGTCTGGGGGGGAGAGCCTGCTTCCCCCGGAGATGGTCCGTCCAGGGGTCTTCTCTCTGCTGCTCGCTGGCCAGGATAGAGCTGGTGCACAAGAGAAGGGCAGAGGATTCTCTGCCGGGGTCCTGCTAAAAGACCCGCTTTGTTCCCTGGACAGAAGAGAAGAAGGGGGTCCTGGGGGCTCTCTGAGCTGGGTGGTTTTCTTGGAGACGTTTCATGACCCAACTAGGGAACATCATCAGGGCTAGAAGGGAGGAGGAGGGGGGCTGTGGGGGTCCTGGGTGCTCTCTGAGCTGGGTGGTTTTCTTGGAGACGTTTCATGACCCAACTAGGGAACATCATCAGGGCTAGAAGGATGGAAGAGAGGGAAGGGAAGGAAAGGAAGGAAGGAAAGGAAGACTAGAATGAGGGGGGGAAGGAAAGGAAGATTAGAGGGAGGGAGGGAAGGAAGGAAGAAAGGAAAGGAAGATTAGAGGGAGGGAGGGAAGGAAAGGAAGAAAGGGAAGGTACGAAGGAAGGAAGGAAGGAAAGGAAGATTAGAATGAGGGAGAGAAGGGAAGGAAGGAAGGAAAGAAAGGAAGATTAGAGGGAGGGGAGGAAGGAAGGCAGGCAGGCAATGGTGGGGTCCTTGGTGCTCTCTGAGCTCAGTTAGGTTTAATGTTGTTCTGTCTGGCTGGACTCTCATTCACATCCCCCCCCCTCCCAGAGCATCATCTAACTCTAAAAGCAAAAGGTAAAAAAAATGGCTACATTTCCATCTGTTATCAAAGCAAAAACACCCGACGTTAGCAGCGTTGACACTTTGTTGGACACGAGGCCTTTCCCTTCCTGTCTTGCAGGGGCAAAACCTCGGGGGTCCAAAGAAGACCCCTTCGCCAGACCCCGATCAGAGGCTTCCCGTGACCCCGAGGCCTACGATGCCGAGATTGCCTGGAAGTTGCAAGAGGAGGAACTGCGGGTGAGCCGGGCCAAACTCTGGCCTTATGGAGCTGCGGGGGTGGGGGGAGACCCCTGAGACCCCCACCCCATCCACTTTCCCCATTTTCAGCTGCTTTGGTGCCCTGCTTTGGTGTTGATCCATGGCAGGAAGCAAAACAGCATCCCGGTGATGGGGAGGGGTCTCCTCTGGGAGTTGAAGGGGGTGAGGGGTACAGGGCCTGATCGAAAGAGTGGGAAAAGGGGTTGTGTGTGTCCCCCAAACAGAATTTTCCAAACGTTGGAGACCAAGGGGTCTGTTTTGTTTTTAAAACATGTAATTGTATTCTATTCAAGGAGAAATTCAAATAACAAATGTCCCCCCAAAAATCAAACACATAAAAGATAATCAAGCAAAGAAAAAAAAATAAAACAAAAAAGTGCATTAAAAAACACAAACACACGTATTGTCCCCCTTAGTTAAATACTGATGAATATATTACAACAATATTAGCTTGGAAACAGGCCCCAAACAGGTTTTTTAAACTTCTAACTCTGCAAATTATTCACCTGTCCCCTGTCTACTATATGGATAACAAAATACTTAACAGGTAAAGCATAAAAAAAACAAAGAAACAGAAAAACAAAGATTAAATTTCAAAAGTGTGTTAGCAAACTATTACTGGGTACAACTCAGAAAATTTACTGCAGCTTCTTAGCTATCCTAAATCAAGTGCAGGGCCTAAACTTGGCTTCGTAGATCAGTAGGGTGGGAAAGGGATGTGTGTGTGTGTGTGTGTGTGTGTGTGTGGTCGGTCCCAAAGCAGAATTTTCCAGATGTTGGGGTTTTCCTTGTGGAGCCACAGTGGATGGGAGGGAGCCAGAAGCAGAAGGGAGGGTCTTTGAAGCATCCCATTTGGGGAGGTGGGGAGAAAGGGGTGGGGGACACCTCCGAGGTCTGCAGGAAACAGTTCCCCAATCTTCTCTTTTTAAAGTTTCTCTTTTTTTTCTTGTTTTTTAGGCCAGTCAGGTGGACAGGAGGGCTGCACAAGTTGCTCAAGATGAGGTAGGTGCCCACAAGGACAGGTGAACGACAGAATAACAGCGTTGCAAGGAAACTTGACCCTTTTATGACTGGTGGACTTCAACTCCCAGAATTCCTTAGCCAGAATGGGAGAACTATGGCCCATTCATGACTGGTGGACTTCAACTCCCAGAATTCCTGAGCCAACCATGCTGAGGGGAAAGGGAGAGGCTTCCAAGCTGAGCCATGCTGGCTGAGGAATTCTGGGAGAAGTCCACGAGTCATGAGGGGGCCATAGTTCCCCCATGCTGGCTGAGGAATTCTGGGAATTGAAGTCCGCAAGTCATGAGGGGGCCATAGTTCCCCCACACTGGCTGAGGAGTTCTGGGAGTTGAAGTCCATGAGTCATGAGGGGGCCATAGTTCCCCCATGCTGGCTGAGGAATTCTGGGAGTTGAAGTCCACGAGTCATGACGGGGCCATAGTTCCCCCATGCTGGCTGAGGATTCTGGGAGTTGAGTCCACGAGTCATGAGGGGGCCATAGTTCCCCATGCTGGCTGAGGAATTCTGGGAGTTGAAGTCCACGAGTCATGAGGGGGCCATAGTTCCCCCATGCTGGCTGAGGAATTCTGGGAGTTGAAGTCCACGAGTGAGGGGCCATAGTTCCCCCATCTGGCTGAGGAATTCTGGGAGTTGAAGTCCACGAGTCATGAGGGGGCCATAGTTCCCCCATGCTGGCTGAGGAATTCTGGGAGTTGAAGTCCACGAATCATGAGGGGGCCATAGTTCCCCCATGCTGGCTGAGGAATTCTGGGAGTTGAAGTCCACGAGTCATAAAAGGATCAAGTTTGAAGACCCCATGCCCACCACATATGATAATAAGTACCTGGTTCATACCATTTCTAACCCCCAAACATCCCTCCGCAAAATACAGAATAGGAGCTGGGAGGGACCTTGGAGGTCTAGTCCAGCCCCCTGCTCAAGCAGGACCCCCTATATAGCATCCCAATCAAATGGCTGTCCAGCTTCTTAAAATCTCCAGTAATGGAGCATCCCACAACTGGTGGAGGCAAGTTGTTCCACTGGTTCATTGTCCTCCCTGTCAGGAAATTTCCTGACGGGGAGAACAATCAACCAGTGGAACGGCTGGCCACTAGAAGTTGTGGATGCTCCATCACTGGTTGGAGGTTGGGCAGCCATTTGTGTGAGATGGTATAGCTCCTCCTGCCTGAGCAGGGGGTTGGACTAGAAGACCTCCAAGGTCCCTTCCAGCTCCTCTTCTGATTGCATAGCTTGCCTTCAGACGTTGCGGCTGTTCAATCACTGGAGGTTTTCAAGAAGAGACTGGACAGCCACTTGTCTAGAATGGCACGGGGGTCTCCTGCCTGAGCAGGGGGCTGGACTAGAAGACCTCCACGGTCCCTCCCAGCTGTTCTGTTATTCCGTGGTTCTGAAACTGAGTAAATCTTAAGCAGAGGTGTGAGCCAAAAAAAAAAAGGGGGGGATAATTTGCTGGATGGCCTCTTTCCCGCAGGAAATAGCCCGGCTGCTGATGGCAGAGGAGAAGAAAGCATACAAAAAAGCGAAGGAACGGGAAAAGAAGAGGCAGGATCCCGAGTGGAAGGTGGGCCAGGGTTCAGTTTGGGAAGACGTTGGCGTCTTCTGGAAAGGAAAAGGGGGGGGGAGGACGTGCTGATCCCCTGCACGAGAATTCTGTTTTTCAGTAGAAGAAAATCTTTGTAGCTCAGCATTGAAGTTTGGGCTCCTGGGTGCTCTGTGAGCTGGGGCTGTTTTGCAGATGTTTCATGACTCAATTAGGGAACAGCATCAGTGCCAGGAGGGATGGAGGTTTGCAGGGAGGAGGAGGGGAGGGGGAAGAGGAGGAGGAGGAGAACTGTGGGATCCTTGGTGCTCTCTGAGCTGGGTGGTTTTCTTGCAGATGTTTCATGACCTAACTAGGGAACATCATCAGTGCTAGAAGGGAGAGGGGTGTGCAGAAAGGAGGAAGAGAAGAGGAAGAAAGAAAGAAAGAAAGAAAGAAAGAAAGAAAGAAAGAAAGAAAGAAAGAAAAAGAAAGAAAAGGAGAGAGAGAAAGAAAGAAAAAAAGAAAGAAGAAAGAAGGAAAGGAAGGAAGGAAAAGAAAGAAAGAAAGAAAGAAAGAAAGAGAAAGAAAGAAAGAAAGGACTGTGGGATCCTTGGTGCTCTCTGAGCTGGGTGGTTTTCTTGCAGATGTTTCATGACCCAACTAGGGAACATCATCAGTGCTAGAAGGGAGAGGGGTGTGCAGAAAGGAGGAGGAGAAAAGAAAGAAAGGAAGGAAGGAAGGAAGGAAGGAAGGAAAGAAAGAAAGAAAGAAAGAAAGAAAGAAAGAAAGAAAGAAAGAGAAAGGACCGTGGGATCCTGGGTGCTCTCTGAGCTGGGTGGTTTTCTTGCAGACTTTTCATGACCCAACTAGGGAACATCATCAGTGCTAGAAGGGAGGGGGGGCTTGTGGAGTAGAGGAGGAGGAGGAAGAAGAGGACTGGGGGGTCCTTGGTGCTCCCTGAGCTGGGGGTGTTTTGCAGATGTTTCATAACCCAACTAGGTAACATAATCAGTGCCAGAAGGGAGTCTAATTTGCTCTCTTTTTGAATTATGAATTCATACACAACTATGAATTATGCTTTCATAGACCATCTATTTCCAATTCCCATTATGTTTGGAAGGCATGCTGAAATTTCAAATTATTCGGGACGGGAGCAGGTTGAGGAAGGCTGAGTTTGAGATTTTCTGTGGTTGTATCCTGACCTTTTCTTTTATAATCCTTTTTTAAAATGATGATTAAATCAGTAGATTTGGGTCCAGTTCCTCATTGCTGATAACAACTGGGAGGCCCTAAAATTTCACTCAGGTTAATCATGCCAGCCTCGTCCCACCTCTTATCCCAAATTAAAACTGGCTTCAGGCAATTTTATTTATTAAATGTATAGGTCCTTCCCCCCTCCCATCTCACACTCACTAGACCAGGGGTAGGCAACCTTGCCTCTTTTATGACTCATGGACTTCAACTCCCAGAATTCCTGAGCCAGCCATGCTGAGGGGAAAGGGAGAGGTTTCCAAGCTGAGCCAGGCTGGCTCAGGAATTCTGGGAGATGAAGTCCACAAGTCATAAAGGGGCCATAGTTCCCCATGCTGGCTGAGGAATTCTGGGAGTTGAAGTCCACGCAACATGAAGGGGCTATAGTTCCTCCATGCTGGCTCAGGAATTCTGGGAGTTGGTCTATGTGTCATGAAGGGGCCATAGTTCCTCCATGCTGGCTCAGGAATTCTGGGAGATGAAGTCCGCAAGTCATAAAGGGGCCGTAGTTCCCCATATTGGCTGAGGAATTCTGGGAGTTGAAGTCCACACGTCTTGAAGGGACTATAGTTCCTCCATGCTGGCTCAGGAATTCTGGGAGTTGAAGTCCTCGAGTCATGAAGGGGCCAAGGTTGCCTATCCCTGCCTAGTCCATTGTTTCTCCACCTCAGCAACTTTTAAGACGTGTGGACTCCAACTCCCAGAATTCCTCAGCCAGCCATGCTGAGAGGAAAGGAAGAGGTTTCCAAGCTGAGCCATGCTGGCTCAGGAATTCTGGGAATTGAAGTCCACCAGTCATTAAAGAGGCAAGATTGCCCACCCCTGGCCTAGACCCTCAATTCTTAAATATATGGTGGATTGTTTTTTTTCCCATAACTGATGTCAGGGAATAGAGATGGAGAAGCCGAAAGAGAAATTGTCCATCTCTAATTCAGATTTATTGAAAAGCTTCCAAGTTCTCACCCTCTTCACTTCCAGTCACACCAATAAAGCAAGAATAGGTTTATTTCCCCTCCTGTCAACCTCCCAGTGCTTCCCATTGAAGCCCAGTTCCACCTGGGTCCACACCTTTACTCTGAAATTGTCCTTGCCTTAATTTACGGGCTGCGTTCCCTCTCTTGCGCACCGGTTGTGGCTTCACGGACACACAACCTGAAGGTTGATCCTCACTTAGCTTTTTCTTCTACGTCCAGCAGGAGCCCCCCGAGTGTTGTGCGGCCGGACAAGAGAAGGACATGACCCTCACCGAGGCAGGGCCGAGAAGCCCACACGGTAAAATGCTTTGGGGTCCGGGGCTCTGCGCATCGGGAGGGACATATGCATTTTGCGGAAGGATGTTTGGGGGTTAGAAATGATAAAGAACATAAACCAGATACTTATTATCGTATGTGGTGGGTATGTGTTAAAGCAGGGGTCTTCCAACTTGGCCCTTTTATGACTCGTGGACTTCAACTCCCAGAATTCCTCTGCCAGGCATGCTGGCTGAGGAATTCTGGGAGTTGAAGTCCTCAAGTCATGAAGGGGCCATACTTCCCCCATGCTGGCTCAGGAATTCTGGGAGTTGAAGTCTGCGAGTCATGAAGGGGCCATAGTTCCCCCATGCTGGCTGAGGCATTCTGGGAGTTGGTCTATCACTCATCAAGGGAGCCATAGTTCCTCCATGCTGGCTGAGGCATTCTGGGAGTTGAAGTCCGCAAGTCATGAAGGGGCCAAAGTTCTCCCATCCTGGCTGAGGAATTCTGGGAGTTGAAGTCCACGAGTCATAAAAGAGTCGAGGTTGCCTACCCCTGAAATAGGTAGTCCTCGAATTACGACCACAATTGAGCACAAAAAAATTATGTTGCTAAGTGAGACAATGGTTAAGTGAGCTTTGCCCCATTTTACGACCTTCCTTCCCACAGTCGCTAAGCGAACCGCTGCAGTTCTTAAGTTAGCAACACGGTTGTTAAGTGACTCCACCTTCTCCCCATTGACTTCGCTTGTCAGAAGGTCGCAAAAGGGGATCGCATGACCCCCCCCAGGACACTGCAACCGTCATAAATGTGAGTCAGTTGCCAAGCGGCCGAATTTAGATCACCTAAGGTGCTGCAAGGGTCCTAAGTGTGACAAACGGTCCTAGGTCGCTTTTTCAGGGCCCTTGCAACTTCAAACAGCCACTAAATCAGTGTTTCTCAACCTTGACCATTTTAAGGCATGTGGACTTCAACTCCCAGAATTCCACAGCCAGCAATGCTGGCTGTGGAATTCTGGGAGTTGAAGTCCACATGCCTTAAAATGGTCAAGGTTGAGATACACTGCCCTAAATGAACTGTTGTAAGTCGGGAACTACCTCAAAATCAACCACTTGTTGTTGACAACTCTGGTCCTGACCCCTTCTGCCTTCTCCCCGCCAGAGCCGGTCCACCGTCGACCAAAGACTTGGAGCCTCACTCTGGCCTTACGCATCAGCATAACGTGGCACATCCGATATCCAGACCGGAGTCAACTCATAAAGGTGAGATGCGGCCTCTTGTTTTATAGGACAGATTATAGAATAAGTTCAATCAAAATAAAGCTGGAAGGGACCTTGGAGGCCATCTAGTCCAGCCCCCTGCTCAGGCAGGAGACCCTGTACCATCTCAGACAAGTGGCTGTCCAGTCTCTTCTTTAAAACCTCCAGTGATGGAGCACCCACAACTTCTATTCATCATTCTATTCTGTTCATTCCATATTCTATTCTGTATTCTATTTATAATTCTATTCTATTTATAATTTTATTCTATTTATAATTCTATTCTATTTATAATTCTAGTCTAGTCCATTCCATTCTATTCTGTATTCTATTTATAATTCTATTCTGTGCATTCCATATTCTATTCTATTCTGTTCTGTTCTGTATTCTATTCTATTTATAGTTCTATTTATAATTCTAGTCTATTCTATTCTAGTCTAGTCTATTCCATTCCATTCCATATTCTATTCCATTCCATTCCATTCTATTCTATTCTATTCTATTCTATTCTATTCTATTTATAATTCTATTCTGTGCATTCCATATTCTATTCTGTTGTGTATTCTATTTATAATTCTATTCTATTCTGTTCATTCCATATTCTATTCTATTTATAATTGTATTCTATTCTGTTCATTCCATATTCTATTCTATTTATAATTCTATTCTGTTCATTCCATATTCTATTCTATTTATAATTCTATTCTATTCTGTTCATTCCATATTCTATTCCATTCCATTCCGTTCCATTCCTAGGCACAGATAGGAAGCGCAGCAAAATTACCAGCCTTAATCTGATTTTGCTCGGCTGATTTCATATTCCTTTTCTTTTCTTGTCTATCCACAGGTCACCACTACAAGCAGTAGGAGAAAGCCATCCTCGACTTTTCTCTCCATAGATACTGACTTTCCAGTGTAGCCGGCTTTATTGCATTTCTGCCAAGAGAGTTCCTGACGTCCCGCCGTTCTCCAAGGAGGTCACTTCATTCCCAGCAGGAAAACGTCTCTCTCTCTTTCTTTCTCTCTCTGCCAGGCTGGGCAGTTAAAGTCTAGCCTTTGGGCAATTCTGCACCCCACCTTCCCCTCCGAGAATCTCTTTCGAGCTTCCAAATCTGGCTTTGTGTCCATAGCACAGGAGTAGGAAGGTGATCAGGTGGACACCAGAGGAAGGCCCAGGGAAGGGTGGAATCAGACAGCCCGGAAGTTGGTGGTCTTCACGTCATGAAGACCCCATAGTAGAGATGTTCAGGTGGCTAAGATAGGGTCCTGTAGTCAGAATGAGTCAGTGTGTCTCTGGAGTGGACCAATCTCAAACGTCTGGAGATGTTTCTCCAAACATGTCCCTCACCTGGAATTCTGAGCGCTAGTGCTTCTCTTGAGAAAGGAAGACTTCCAGAAATGAAAGAGAGATGTCCATGTCCTGTTCTGGGAAGGAAAAATGGAAATTTTTTTCCCAGGAAACAACTGGGAAAATATTTTAGGAGAGACCCAATAGATTTTTTTTTAACATTTTAGGTTAGCTCTTTCTTTTGTTCCAAACGTTTCCTGAAGGACAGGAACGACATGAGATGAATTCTTGAGGTTTTATATATATATTTCCATTGATTCATAAATACAAAGGTCAGAAACATCACTTGGGATAAATAACGATTACTCAGGTCTGTTTTATTGTATATTTTATTTTAAGGTTTAGTTTTTAACAGCCAGAGAAGGAGCACAGAAGTTAGGCCCCATCTTCGAATGCTGCAAGTGAGGCCTTGACGGCCCTCAGCCAACTTCTTTCAACCCCCACGAGGTGCTTCACCTGGATCCCGACATTTTTGTTGTTCAATTTGTAATAGTCTTGTACAGGTCTTGCAAAATACAGGGTGTCGTGTAGGGACCAAGAGTGCTGGATTTACACAGCACAATGAAGCCACAAGAAAAGACAAGCAAGATTCAAAAAAAAAACAAAAAAAACAATCCAGTTTAGCAAATTGGGTCAATGTGGATTTTTTTTTGTGGTTAAAAGGGATGTGTGAAATTAGGCCAGGGGTCCTCAAACTTGGCCCTTTTATGACTTGTGGACTTCAACTCCCAGAATTCCATAGCCAGGCATGCTGGCTGAGGAATTCTGGGAGTTGAAGTCCACGAGTCATGAAGGGGCCATAGTTCCCCCATGCTGGCTGGGGAATTCTGGGAGTTGAAGTCTGCGAGTCATGAAGGGGCCATAATTCCCCCATGCTGGCTCAGGAATTCTGGGAGTTGAAGTCCACGAATCATGAGGGGACCATAGTTCCCCCATGCTGGCTCAGGAATTCTGGGAGTTGAAGTCCACAAATCATGAGGGGACCATAGTTCCCCCATGCTGGCTGAGGAATTCTGGGAGTTGAAGTCCATGAGTCATAACAGGGCCAGATTTGAAGACCCCAGATCTAGGCCATGGATGAGTATTGCCAGATCAGTCTGTCTCAGTCTTAACAACTTGAAGATGACTGGACTTCAACTCCCAGAATTCCCCAGCCAGCATTGTTGCCTTGGGAATTCTGGGAGTTGAAGTCCACCCATCTCCAAGTTGTTGAGATTGAGAATACTCTGGCCTCGATTGACTTAGAATAAATCTTAAGCTACAGTGTGGACCTCAAACTCCAGTACTTTTGAAATATTACAGCACAACGAACCTTTTTTTAAAAAAAAACAAGTCATTATATTTCAGAAACCAGGAGAGAGAACGCTCATAATTAATTGATCTTTCAGAATTTGAAATGCATTTTTTTTTTTAAAAAAAAGCTGTTTTTGGAAATTGTGAAGACTACCTGAATATCACCTTCAGATTGAAAGTGCCTTCAAACCCTTTTCTCCCTCTGGAGCCCACCAGCTCTATTGGACTGTGACCCACACCAATGTTGTGTTGTTTGCATTGTTGGGGGTAGGTGCCAGGCATGGTAACTGGTGCATTTTATCATCCCTCTCTTTGCTGCTGGGGGAAAAAAAAAAATTAAACTCTCCAGGCCAAATTGTTAAGAGCCCACCCCCCGCCTTGCCTAGATTTCACCCCACTCTTGAAATATTATGTTATTTCCCCCCCCCCACACACATTCAGTTTTAAAAGCCTCATCTTGTGACGCCGTCCGGAAGACGGCCAATGTATTTGCCTAGTTCTTGTTTTTTGGTTTGATGCGTCTGTCATATCCACTGGTTTCATTTTTGAATACGGTTTTATTTCGATAACAATCTGATTATCGGCCTCCGAGAGTCTTTTCATTGAATATTTTCATTGTCTGCCCTCCTTCAGCGTCCGCTTTATCCCGTCAAAAATATTTATGAAGGTTCAGCAGTTAGGGGTTTATGGGTTACACGGCGGAGGGACCGGTAGAGGTTGAGGAAGTGGAGAAGAAGTAAAAACTGCTAAATGTGTCCTGGTGGGCTGGGAAAAACCCGTCAAGAGAAGACCGGCCCACAGCAGTCAGGATTTTAAATTTAACAACTAGAGAAGGGAATATTTGTAGCTTCTTTAGTGGTGCTGTTTCCCATTGGCTCTTTGGCAGTTTCTTGATTGGGGTATCTATCAACCAGCCCAACAGGGAACAAAAAGAAGGGGGATGGACTAGATGACCTCCAGGTCCCTTCCATCATCATCATCATCATTATTATTATTATTACCCACACACCTCTCCACCAGCAATCTGCACCCAGATCAGCATAAAATTCAGGGGTCTTCAAACTTGGCCCTTTTGTGACTTGTGGACTTCAACTCCCAGAATTCCTCAGCCAGGCAGGCTGGCTGAGGAATTCTGGGAATTGAAGTCCGCAAGTCATAAAAGGGCCATAGTTCCCCCATGCTGGCTGAGGAATTCTGGGGGTTGAAGTCCACAAGTCATGAAGGGGCTATAGTTCCCCCATGCTGGCTGAGGAATTCTGGGAATTGAAGTCCACGAGTCATGAAGGGGCCATAGTTCCACTGTGCTGGATCAGGAATTCTGGGAGTTGAAGTCTGCGAGTCATGAAGGGGCCATAGTTCCCCCATGCTGGTTGAGGAATTGAATTTGAAGACCGCTGGCATAGATTAACTCCAAGGTTAACCTCAGACCAACAATCAAGTAAACAACACCCCAATCAAGAAACTGCCAAGGAAGCCGACATAAACAGGTCAACCAAAGCATCTCTTAAGACCAGCCCCACCAAATATTTGTAGAATATTTGGGACCTTCACCTTCATTCCTATCAATAAAGGGTTGAAATGGGGCGTCCTTTTGGCTTTCTGCTCCTGGTGGTTTTCTTGCAGACCTTTCATCACCCAACTAGGGAACATCATCAGCGCTTGCAGTGAATGGGATTTGTAGGGAGGAGGAAGAAGAGGGAGGAGGAGAAGGAAAATGGTGACAATGATTATAGGGTCCTTGGTGCTCTCTGGGCCTGGTGGCTTTCTTGAGACGTCTCATCACCCAACTAGATAACATCATCAGAGCTAGAAGGGTGTGGGGTTTGTGGGGGAAAGGAGAAGAGGAGGAGACTTGTGGGGTCCTTGGTCTTCTGAGCTGGGTGGTTTTCTTGCAGACGTTTCATCACCCAACTAGGGAACATCATCAGTGGTAGAAATGAATGGGATTTGCAGGGAGGAGGAGGAAGGACTGTGGCGTCCTGGTGGCCTCTGAAGTTGGTTTTCTTGCAGACGTTTCATGACCCAACTAGGGAACATCATCAGTGCTAGAAGGGAGAGGGGTTTGCACAGTGGTGGAAGGAGAAGAGGAGGAGGAGGAAGGACTGGGGGGGGGGTCCTTGGTGCTCTCTGAAGTTGGTCGTTTTCTTGCAGACATTTCATGACCCAACTAGGGAACCTCATCAGTGAATAAGCAGGGATTAACAACAAACAAACAGAAAACAATCAAGGATACCAAGGGGGGGGGGGGAACACCCTAACATTGGCAGGCCAGGCCACTGGACATAAACAGGAAGCGAGCCCCACTCAGTAGCACATTTTGCTTCTCATCCAAGAAGCTTCTTTGGTTGTAACGTAGAACCGAAGAAACTTCTTGGATGAGAAGCGAAATGTTTTCAAGGGAAAAAAAAAACAAAACAAGAAAAACTCCAGTTGCTTTTTTTGGAAAAGCATATTTCGGGCGGGAGATTTTGAAGATGGCTGGAAGAAATGTAGCGACAACAGAAGGGGGGAGGGAGAAACACACTCATTTTGGAGAAAATGGGCAAGAAACGCACTCGGATGTTTCTGCTTTCCAGGGACTCTGAAAAGTGGTTTTTTGAGCCAGGCCCAAGCTGGGCTTCCAGGCCAGGCAAGCGGTAAGAGATTTTCACTCGGCCTAAAAAACCTCTGGCTGCGTTGGCTTTTTTTTTAAGTAATCATTTCTGAAATTCAAAGTGCAATCAGGAATCGGAAACAGCTTCTTTCCAACAGGCCCTTTGACCACAAGAAAGAAGGAAGGAAGAGCCACTTGCTAAAACCTGATGGCTTTGAACCTGCGTGGACAGCTGGATTGATTGAAAGAGAGAGAGAGAGTGTGTGTGTGTGTTTGCGTAGGAGCACACAATTGCCCTCTTGCGACTCTCGCGGCCATCAGTTCTGTCCTCTCCACTTTTGCAATTTTCTGGTAGCATCTGCAGCTGCTTTCTGCTGGGCCATCCATGAATTTGTCACCCTAAATGTCCCCTTGGCAGAAGATGACTTGGTAGAGGGACCTGCCATGGGGTGGATCTTTGTGGGACCCACCTTGCCAAGGTGGAGAATGAAATGTTTCTTTTGACCCGAGTCCTCCAGCTCCTGATGGCTGGACTGTTATTGTCCATGAGGCTGAGGAATTCTGGGAGTTGAAGTCCACGAGACATGAGGGGGGCATAGTTCCCCCATGCTGGCTGAGGAATTCTGGGAGTTGAAGTCCACGAGACATGAGGGGGGGCATAGTTCCCCCATGCTGGCTGAGGAATTCTGGGAGTTGAAGTCCACGAGACATGAGGGGGGCATAGTTCCCCCATGCTGGCTGAGGAATTCTGGGAGTTGAAGTCCACGAGACATGAGGGGGGCATAGTTCCCCCACACAGGCTGAGGAATTCTGGGAGTTGAAGTCCACGAGACATGAGGGGGGCATAGTTCCCCCACACAGGCTGAGGAATTCTGGGAGTTGAAGTCCACGAGTCATGAGGGGGGCATAGTTCCCCCACGCTGGCTGAGGAATTCTGGGAGTTGAAGTCCAGGAGTCATGAAGGGGCCATAGTTCCCCCATGCTGGCTCAGGAATTAAAGGAGTTGAAGTCCACGAGACATGAGGGGGGCATAGTTCCCCCACACAGGCTGAGGAATTCTGGGAGTTGAAGTCCACGAGTCATGAGGGGGGCATAGTTCCCCCACGCTGGCTGAGGAATTCTGGGAGTTGAAGTCCAGGAGTCATGAAGGGGCCATAGTTCCCCCATGCTGGCTCAGGAATTAAAGGAGTTGAAGTCCACGAGTCATGAAGGGGGCCATAGTTCACTTAGCTGAGGCAAGACCATTTTGCTGAAGCTACATACTGATCCTGTTCCTTGAAGGAATTCAGTTCCTATGTCCATATAATACATTAAATCATAATAAGTAGGCTGAATTCACACAACCAATTAAGTCTTTCCCCCCAAAGAAGGCACGCATAACGTTGTTTGAATGCAGCTGCTCCTTCTCAATTGACTTAAGTTCTGTGAACACACCTCACATGGGCCCAGTGTGCTTGACGTCTTCACAGATGATCTAGATGAGGGAAACGCATCAAATTTGCAGAAGAGACCAAGCTGGCAGGAATAGCCAACCCTCCAGAACTTACAGGCTTCAGATACAGAAGGATCTGGGCAGACTTGAACTTTGGGCGCTATCTAACAAAATGAAATTCAACGGTGAAAAAAGTAAGGTTCTACATTTAGTCAAGAAAAACCAAATGCACAGGTGTAGTAAACGGGATAGCAACTGTGAGAAGGATCTTGCAATCCTAGTGGACAATCACTTCAATAGGAGCCACCTGTATGCTGCAACTGCCAAAAAAGCCAACACAGTGCTGGGCTGCGTTCACAGA